TTCAGAAAGCTGAGCACAAAAGCAATTGCCCGAAGTGGTAATTTTGCAGAGGAAAACAATGCCGTCTCTCTCTCTCTCTTTGGTTCTGCCCCAACAGGGACTGCTTCATGCTATGTTTCCTGAATAGTGCCACCAGCTTTGTGGCCGGCTTTGCTATCTTCTCTGTGCTGGGCTTCATGGCACAAGAACAGGGCGTGCCCATTTCAGAAGTGGCCGAGTCAGGTAGGTGCTTTCTAAATGTGACAGGGCCAAAAGGAAAACTTAAAGCATGGGTGGACTTTTTAGGAATTGACACCTTTGAATATGAAGCCAACCCATGAGGTTAGCAGTGCTGCTACCTTGAACCAATCCTACATCCTCTGTAATTGCTAGTGTAATTGCCCAGAACAACCTCTGCCTATTCTGCGGACTCAGAGGCCCTGTCATCCAGAACCACTGCTTTATTCTCTGCTGTCCTGATGCACTTAGTGCCACTGTCCAGAAGCAGAGCTGCATTCCCTGTTGTTTTGAAATCCCTCATTCTTCTTTCCAAAACCAGCCACTCAGCCCATGTCAGCAGCTATTATCCCGAGTGTCAGTGACCATTGCACGATACATTCTGGGGAAGTGAGGTCTTGGCAGGCTAAGTTTTTTAAACAGCACATCAAACTGGTCTCTGTGTTGCTGGGTCGTGTTGTTGGGGAAACCTCATCCTTACTCAGCTATCTGATTGGCAGGTCCGGGCCTAGCATTCATTGCGTATCCAAAGGCTGTAACGATGATGCCTGTGTCTCCGCTCTGGTCCTGCCTATTCTTCCTTATGCTGATCTTCCTGGGACTGGATAGCCAGGTACAGTAAATAACCCTCCTCTTTTCCTCTAACTCCAAGGTGTCTGTCACATGTTTGAGAGCCTCATGTAGATCATAACTCGTGGGTGGGAAATGGTGATGTGTCTCTCAGCCACCTGGAACACCTGTCGCACATCCATGTTACTACTTCAGAATGATAATACTTAGAGCTGGCCAGTACATCCCAGCAGTCAGCTGGTGTTAGGTGTTACTCCTTAACAGTGACCTGCAGCACCTGTACCTTCCAGCATAAGTCTCTGACAATCCAGTGACAACCAGCAGCCACGCCTCTTTGTCCTTCCCACCAAGTCTGCCCTTAGGGGCTAGCTGTCATTCCTCATGAACCAGGCACTTTACTATACATTTTGTGTCAATCTCCTCTAAGTTCACTAGGACTCCCTTTGTATTGTGACAATCCCCATCTGTAACTGTAGTTTGATGGCAGCTCCAACTGTACTACGAGTGTTCTTGATTCCAGGTGTGACTTGTGACCTGCAGTACCCTCACTGTCTCCTGGCTCCAGAGTAGCTGCTTCCTGGCAGTAACTTCTTTTATACCACAGTGGTTCCTTGTGAAACACAATTTATTTCTTGATAATCCTTTGTGGTGAGGTGCAATTCCCTTAGTGTCTCCACGTTCCGTGTGTCATTTCTGTTGTACCTGAACATCCTCCCTACTCCAGATGCAAGGCTTGTGATAATCTCAGTCAGTTCCAGATGTGGTTCCAGTCACTCCTCCAGGGTGCTCAATTCCTGATGTTACATCAGTGCTAACTCCACTTCCTTTGGGACTCAGATGCAGCTATACCTCCTTGTTTCCAAGCCGTTCATGCTTTAGGTGTAGGAAAAAGGAGAGAGAC